GTTGGACTGATTTATTGTAACAGCCCAGCTAACAAAAGTTTTGATGTTAAATATTTTTAATTATCACATTTAATGGTTTTCTATTTTATTTGCAGAGGTGTAAAGAGTACCTGAAAACCATACTTGAATAAAAGTACAAGTACCTTACAGTGACAATTACCCCACTACATGTTACAAGTCACCAATTTCAAAACAACTTGAGTAAAGGTCTTAGAGTATCTGATTTTAACAGTACTTAAGTAGTTTACTTATACTGAATATAGGCTCAAAGATGCACTAGTCAAAGAGACATGCCAGTGAAAAACAAGAAAGCGTTCATTTGTGAGAAAAGCAAACACTATTTTATAAAACCAAAATAAAACTGAACACCTCAAAAATTGCAATAAATAAATTAAATAAACTATGCTTCAAAAAGTATTATTATTATTATTTTTGCTTAATTTGTTTATTGAACTTTTACAATAATAACAGGATAAGAATACAGGAGAATAGTGAAAAAATACTGTTAAGTAAAATTAAAAAGTCAAAGCCTTCTTGCACTGGATGAGCTGGTTTCAGCCTCATCCCCGTTGCTAAGGAACTCACATTCATGTCAAGAAGCCTTGTTGACAAGTTTGGGTGAGTAAGGGCAAAACACACAAGATATTGTACTTTCAGTGCCCTGTAGTTGGCTATATCACTTCTTTTGTAGCAGAAATAAACTGCTGCAGAAAAAGCTAGGTGCAATGGAAAATGTCATGTGTAATTGTAACTCATTACAAATGTAGTGGAGTAAAGAGTACAGATGCTTATTCAAAAATGTAGTGAAGTAGAGAGTAAAAGTTGCTAATATCTTTGATACTCAGTAAAACTCAAAAAAGATACTCAAGTACAGTAATTAATTTCATTTACTTAAATACTTTACACCACTGTTTATTTGCAATTACATTTCCATTGGAAAATGGAAAACTCGTTCAAAAACGGAGCAAAATATTTGTGATAGTGAGAGACCAAAGTAAATGAAAAACATTTATGGCTCATATAGCCTTTATTTGTGCCACCTTTAATCAAACTAAAAACTGCATTTTTCAAATAAATTAATTATCAATATAATTTTATCTACTGATATGAAGAATGGATGAAGTAGATCACTCATCTTTTGAGTGATGTGGGTGCAATATTGATGAAGTGGCTTTCTAATTACCTAAATTAGCTACAAATGATTATTGGTTATTGCCTTGGGGACTGGATTGTAGGCCTAGCCAGAAGCTGGAACTGAAAGTTGTTTGGGGTTGTATGTTGGGACCTATAAATTATGAGAAGATGGACAGCGCAATTGCTTAGTGTGAAAACTTTTAATTTGGGGCATTAACAAATGTTTAGTCTTGGTAAATGCATAAAACGTTACCTTGTCGGAGTGTTAACTGAACTGGGTGTCCCTTTAAGATAAAAAGAGAACATAAGCATAAGCACAATGAGGCTGAACAGTACAGTGTCCACCTTGAAACCATCATTACTTTATGCACTCAAATAATGATATCTGAAAGATATGACTAACAATGTCAGTATTACATCACTTACTGAAACTTTGTTCATGTACTGAACTCACGCTAGACATAGAGATGGATAACCCTGGGGGTGTCTAGAGCAGATTAGACATAAAGCACAGTCACATGAGGATTGCTTATTTCCATATGACTTGAAAACTGACTATATTAAACTAAACAAACTATAAACTAGGATGTAATAGAGACGCTAACTCACTGTCATGCCGAGTCTGGAATGTCTAAACCTCTCCAAAGTGTCACCCGAACTTGCATAACAACCAGAATTTCATTGTATTATTTGGAGGAAAGTAAATCTACTATATACAAATAAATGACCTGATAAAATGCAAGCTACCTGACAGCTCTTGAGCGAGGTGTGACTGTGGAAATGCAATTGGAAATGAAATGCGATGAGAACAATATATTTAAAGCTTTACAGTGTTTCAATCTAGGAGATGAAGCTTCTGTTTTAAGCTATGAAATTGCTACCTGGTGATGTGACAGCCACAGGAAGAATCATCCTTGGAGTTCCTCTATATATGGAAAGAATATATTTTAAATGTATATTCTATTATATTATATTATGACACATTTATGCACATAAAGACAAATATTTGTATTTACCCATTAATTGGAAACCTCCCAGGAGATGTCTGTGGAGGGAAGAAAAACTATAACATCCAAAGAGAACGGAAGTTAGAAGGGAAGCGTGAGACATGCAATAAGAAACTCTCACCCTCCTCTGAGAAAGCGGCTTCTTTAGTTCTTCGTTCTCTTGTTTCAGCTCAGACACTTGCCTTAAATAAAACACAAGTAACTAAACAGTCAAGTGCCACTGAATATATATCTTAGATCTAAGCCATAAATGACCACCTGTAGCACTGATCACGGACTTCTTTCACCTTTCGTTCCAGTTCCACAGACCTGCTTCTTAAGAATGCGATGACTCGCTCCTTCTGCCTTTTCTGAAAAATAGCGATCTGAAACAAATGCATCTTCCTAAGTTATAAATGGCAGAATTGTGTTTGCTTAGGACTTGATGTCACTCTGACATGATGATTTCATGTTACAGAGTTCACAGCAAAATTTTTTTTTTTTTTTGGCCTTTTTAGATTCAATCAATTATAAAGGAATTGGGACAAATAAAATGTATTTGTTAAAGCAGAAAATGACCTGGGCAATATGTTCCAGTCGAGTCTGAATGAGTTTCACTGGATCTTTGAAAAACATCTTTTCCTGTGGCTTCATCTTCAAAAAAAAAAAAAAGGAACATGTAAGGAAACATATGGTTGTTTAAATGTTGGTATAGGCATAGGTGAGGTTGGTATAGGTAACCAAAGTTAATATTTTTTTCTAATTAAGAATAATGCATGTAACCATAGCAACAAATAATATAAAATATTAAATAAATGAATATAAATTAATAATATTAAATATTAAATAAATTAATATTAGTATTGCACTGTTTTAACAACTCAGTCTGCTTTTATCTCCTCTTTAGTCAAACAATTCGAAAACAAAATCTGAACATTATTGCTATTTTCTGCAATTTTTCATTACAGAAATTATTCAAAAGGTTGACAAAAATAATTCTTAGCATGTAGGCCAACCTGTTTTGTTTTTTAGTTTTTTTTACAGATAACTAGTTGTCAAACTGTTGTTCATACAACACACATCAACTGAACTTGTTCTCAAAATTCAATTGTGATTTGAAACTTTCATGACCTTAATCTCTCATAGGTAAACTGTGTATGAACAGAACCATATTTAGCACTCCAAACAAGCCCACTTCCAGTGTGTGCTGTTTAACACCGTAAAGCTTTTTTGACACAATCTGGGGCCGGCTGCATAAACTGCTTAGACTAGTCTTAAAACGTTAGTCATGTAATTTCTTTTCTACTAAACTGTTAATAACTTTTTAAAATTTTTAAAAGGTTGACTGCTGTAATTTGAATTGAAAAGTAAGACTGGTTACCTCTTGGCTAACTGCTAGTTGGTCAAACAAGTTCTTAACATAGTGACTAGTTTATGCAACTGGCCCCTGTATTGTATAAAGCAGTGGTTCCCAACCCTGGTCCTGGAGGCATCCCAACACTGCACATTTTGCATGTCTCCTTTCTCTGACACACCAATTTCAGGTCTTGAAGTCTCTACTAATGAGCTGATGACCTGAATCAGGTGTGTTTGATTAAAGAGACATGCAAAACGTGCAATGTTGGGGTGCCTCAAGGCCCAGGGTTGGGAACCACTGGTATAAAGCACCACATAAATAAAGAAGACTTGACTTGTGCAACAGGACCCTCAGGGTAAAGCTGGAAAGTTGGGGGGTGGGTACATACTAGCATAGTTTCCAAGGTGGGCCAGACCCACCCAGGCCCCCCTGTGGAGCAAGGCCTTCTAAAAAACAATATTCTGTGTGAATGTTGCTGAGATCATCTGGTTTCTCAGTGCGGGTTGGACTTACCTGATCAGATATGTGAAGGTAGTTGCAGTTGGCGTGACAAATTTCGCACTGACCTTTAGGAGGATATTACACTTAGTGATTCACAGTAGCCTCGAAAATGAAATAAAAATAAAATACAATAAAAACCAATCAAAATAGCAAACAAAAACAAGAAGAGCGTATTGCGTTACGTTACTCACTTGTATTTATGCAGTTCTCACAAAATATATGGCCACAACTGGACACTACGAACTTTTTCCCTTCTCTCACATAACAATTGTTACAGTGAAACCAGTTCATTTCACTTCTATGAAAGAGGCCACCTAAAAAAAACTAACCTTAAAATTAATATTAAAGGATGTTGATACCATTAAGAGATGTAACGTTATGCTGCAATAACACGTTTTTTTGCTAATCTTACAATGCTAGCAAACTGTGGACTGCGGTAAAATACTTGTTTGTCATAGTATAAACAATTTATTTTTACGAACGTTATGTTTATCTGAATAATTTACCTGCAGCTGTTAAGAGTAACGTAGCAAATCTCTCTCAACTTGTCCTCGAGTCGAGTGAGCGAACCGTTGGAGAATTCCTGAAGTAAACGGTTTTGGCGCCATCTCTTGGACAGTGTAGTAAAGTTAGAAAACGTGGTTTTAAGTGTCTTTGCTAGAGTGAGTGTGAAGGCACAAAATCACTTTCCAAATTCATACTCTATGCTTTTGTCCATCACAACTGCTGGATCACCATCAAGTGTGCTCATTTGTTTCCAGAAGTTGGAAGGAAAAAAGTATCAATTTCAGAATATTTTAGTAGCAGGTATTTTTTTCTGGCCCAGGCATTGTTTCACACTAAAAACAAAATGGTTCTGGGGCAGTTAATAAGTATATAAAAAAAACAAAATAAAATAAATAAAAAAAACACCTCCCTCTCCCCCTCTCTCTCTCACACACACACACACACACACACACAACACACACACACACACACACACACACACACACACACACTATGTAATAACGAACAACATCCACTTTTATAATGATTTATTTCTCTCAAGAAACGCAGCAGTTGAACAGGAACAGGTAGAGCTCAACCCTTAGGATGTCCAAAGCAACTCCCGTGGCTTGGAGGCAATCTTTGGAAGTAATTCAACACAATAGATGTCACATAAGGGAAAGTAAATAAAATAATAATAAACAATACGACAGCAAACCTTGTCAAATCCAAGGTATGACCCAGTCCTCAGTTTTCAATAATAACCAGAGGCCCAATAACAGAATTTAAAGCGGAGGAATCTGTAGATTATGCAGTCAAGTCAGTTCATGCCCAGTAGTAAAACTCAATACTTAATGATTCTTTTCACACTTGTGAAATAGTGGCTAAATATTTAATCTTCACTTTATGGCAAAGTAACGTATGGGAAGCAATAATACAGTGAACAGTGACCTGCTGTTATTCCTCGTTTCTTTCTTCCTTGACAGTTAGTGTCACAGCAGCTGCAGAGAGAATTCTGGGATGGATCATCAATCAGCACCCAACTGCAAAAAGAGAAAGAGCCTATTCAGGAGTTCTACAAGAGGCCTTCAATTTTAAATTATCATACCGTGAGCTGATCCTGTCATATTGACAAGCTTTCTTGCCACCATCCAGGTCACTTGGGTCCCATGCCACAAGCCTGCAGTGCAGGTAGACCTGGGGATGATGCAAAAAAAATTCAAACGAAAGAACGAACGAACGAAAGAACGAACTTGCATCTTCTCCAATGGCAAACTTGAAAGCTTGGAGACTTAGCCTGATCTCTGACAATTGCTTTCTTAGCAGAAACCTCGAGTTTGTATTTTTATTTTTGCAAAAAAAAAAAAAAAAAAAAAAAAAGTAATACATTTTAAAGGGCATCAAGACAAAGAATTGTGCTACTCACTCCACTGCTGTGGAACATGAAAATGTTTTTGGATCCAGAAAGACCACATCTCGTTTTCACACATACCCATTATTGGTAATGAGTGGGTAAACATGAGAATCTGGACCCAGTTCTGGTGTTGTGGATGCCAGACATTCATCCAGCAGCAGTATTAATGGCTGATGGTTCTGCTGGGCAACTGAGGCAGCAATTGGGATTGTTGAGCCTAGTGAGAATATTGTGGTAGTGGCCACACCACTAAAGTCATCTACAAATTATTAGACCATTTTTTTATTCAAGTCATCAAGAATGTCTCAGTGTATACACACCCTTCATGAGCGCTATACGAAAGGCCAGATCTCCCTGGCCATGTGTATGAAACAGCAGGGGGTCATACAAAGGAGGCGCCCAGTCTTCTGGCCTGAAAGAAAGGCAGCAGTTTTGATCTACAGTGGGTACGGAAAGTATTCAGACCCCCAAATGTCAACGATTCTGTGTTTTTCTGTCAATATGGGGTGCTGTGTGTACATTGAAGAAAAAAATTAACTTAAATGATTTTAGCAAATGGCTGCAATATAACAAAGAGTGAAAAATTTAAGGGGTTCTGAATACTTTCCGTACCCACTGTACATTAATCATAGAAGGTCTTCAAGCAGCAATATGCCTTATTAAAATAGAGCAAGGCATCTTGGGTCTTCAAATACATTAATAAACAAAGATGTCACCCTTCATATGCACAGGCCACAGAGTAATAAATTGGTGTTGCTTTTGACAATGTGGGAGAAGTGATCTCGGCCTCAAATATAATCTCATTAGTTGTCACCTATGAAGGGAAAGAGATTGAAGAATAGATTACTGAATAAATTACTTTAATACTTTTCTATACTCTGTTGCCATTTGAATGCATTTAACTATATGCACAACCTTTTGTCATCTAGACCACTGCTGAATCCAACAAGAACAAGCAGGGTTACTTTTCTCAGCAGATAAACCAATCTCAGTAACTTCTAGTTGTCTCTTTTTCCATGTACAAATGTCTCCAACAATGCAAAGTTTTAAGTGTTGAATATGGCCCAAAGAATTCCATTTTAAAAACTGTTAAGTACTCCTTTGCTCCTCATAGGAAAGAGCTATTAACTAATAGCTCAGTGGCTCATACTTCCAAACACAAGTAAATCAGAGGGCAAATCTGTTACCCTTTACTAATGAAGAATAACGGAAATTCTTCACTGAACTCACCAGCCTCCTAATATTACAAGCCCAAAATTCAGCATAGAACACTGCCTCTGAGCCTTGAGATTTTACTGAAACCTGGGTTGGAGGACAGTTACCCAGGCGGAGCAGGGATGGATCCACTTGAGGGTCTGCATCAACCCATCACACAGAGACAGAGTTTTTGCCACAGTCCACAGTGATTGCTGATGGGAGGTGAGTTTGAAGATAGACTTCAGTGTGTACAAAACTCAGCAATAGTGTGCAATGTGGTGTTAAAATGCTCCATCTGGTACAAGCCTCATATTATATTACCTGCTTGTGCCACTAAGAAAATAGCCAGAATTAAAAAAACAAGCATCAAAAAGGAAGGCATTCCAACAGCACACTGTTGCCTACTTCAAGGACATACTTATGCACTTTGATTGATAGCTAACCTAATTAAAGTATTCACATCTGAAATGCATTGAGCTTAATGAACATCAGCTGCTAATGCTCCAACTCTGATCATACAAAATGTGACAAATATTTCTAATGTAGTGTTCAAGAAATTAGTGTCATGTACAACATTTTCATGTTAACTTTGTTTTGGATACATATTTAGTTTTACACTGCTAGGTTGTGAACCTATTTGAATGCTAGGTAGAGCATTTTTTGCAACATGCATTTTTTTTTAATTAATTAATTTGCTTTTTGACAGTTCTGGCAAAATTTGCCAAATCATAACTCTTAAACACTATTGCTTTTTGAAGGAATCACTCCCAGTCAGCATTATAGCAGGCTGCAAAAACAGTTTTACAAGCTCAGGCTCTGAATATCTGCAAAATGTACTTTCTGTACATTTTAATTTCAATTTTAATTTGACCTGAGCAAGCATACAATTACTACATTTCCATTTTTTTTTTTTACAAAAACGAATTCGCCAGATTTCCAAGTTTCTCAAGGCATTTTAATGTACTCTTAAGTTTTCCTACAATGCATGCTATAACCTGCTCCTTTAGTTGGGAGAAATCAATTTAATTATATAACTGTTGAAATAGAGGTAAATTTATGAGCTATCCTTAAAGACAAATGTGTGATGTGACCGATCACAGTAAGAAAGTTTCAAATAATAGTTTCACAGTCTTTTAATCAACACGATGCATAAAAGTTGGAGCAGTGAAACAAATCTGAAGACTTCTTGGGCCACTCCTACTCAATCACTCAGATCAGGAATCCAGCACCTGGAAAAAAATGGGGGAGAAGTTATTCCACTGTACACAATGGTCATTTATTACCAAAATATCATGTAGAGTGTACACTCCACTGACCTGTCAGTTATCCATTGCATCAATATAGACAGCCACTCAGCCTACCAAGGAGGAAAAACAAACCACTATAATATGCATAACCTAATACTAGAAGACAAAATTAAATAATTCTAAGAACATAATTACAAAATATTACGGATGACATGTCGGAGTAACATCACAGTGAATCTTCTGTAAATGTCAAAGGTCCCAGCACAGACTTTAGTACCAGTCCTTGAGGTGCTGTAATCCAGACACATTGCATGCTAACTTAAAGCCACGTTCCAGTGTTTGCCATATTTAACATTAGTTATTTGGCATTATGCTTTTGATTTACCGGAATCCGTGTCCCTCTTTCCACGGCCTTGACATGTTGATTCACAGCACTGACAAAGAGAACTCTGGAATGGGTCGTCTAAAAGCTCCCACCTGTTAATGAAGCAGCATTATTCGATATTTTCCAATAAATCAAATCAACTTACATTTAATAATGAAGGAGTTTAAATACAAATCAAATTTACACTTACTCTCCTGTGGCTTTATTATAATTGCAGGCCTTCTTTTCTTCATTGAGGAGGTCAGGGTCCCACGCAACTAATTTGCAATGGATGTAGACCTGCAGGGAAAGAATAGGCAGGAACAAGTTCAGACGTTTAATAACTTGCCATATTCCAATGAAGGGAGTCCCTCACGTCTTGTCCCACAGCGAATCTGAAAGCTTGAAGGTGAAGCAGGATCGAGGAGGAGTGATACCTTGGTAAAAACTTGGAGAAGCTTTTCTTACCATCCACAAGACACCTACAATGGGTTCACATTAAGTCAATTATAGAAATATGGCCACTAAATTACAGAAAATAATGTGCTGACTAATGGATATTTCAATGAATAACAAATGTACACACCCTTTATTGGTAATGAGTGGGTATGTAAGAGTATCTGGGTACATTTCGAGTGTTGTGGAGGCTACACATTCCTCCAGAAGCAGCAGCAGAGGCTGATGGGCTTGCTGGTTAACACCAGCCCAGATAGGAACAAAAGATCCCAGTTGAAAGACATTGGATTCTGCAGGGCCACTGAAATCATCTGGAGGGATTATGATATGAAAGTTATTGTTATAACAAGACCAATAGAATCAGTAGATCAAGCATTGCCTACTTACAATTGAGAATTGCCATGTGAAAGGCCAGTTCTCCATGACCTTGGATAACACCAGTAGAAGAGCTCTGGAAGGTAGGAGTCCAACCCTTCGGCCTGATAACAATTTAAATTATTGTACATCAATGGCAATGTTTTGGGATCGAGAGTCCTGGTGAAGACCTGTAGTACCTAGTTGTAGTTACCTGTCATACACGCATCTAATTGGATAGCTGAAAGAAGGAGGGGAGGGCTTTGGCAACGGCCTGTAGGTTAGCTTGTTCTCATACACCAAGTATTTCCATGTTGCCTAATTGGAATGGAGAAAAAAAATAAATAAAAATCAACATTTTCAGGATTCAGCGATTAGTGAAATCAAACTTACCATTCGTCTGAAATCACAAGCGTTAAGTGGATAGTAAAAGTCTGCTTCTGCTCCATTTGACGCATTTGAGAATTGTGAAGGAAAGCAGCTACCCAAGAAAAGACGAGTAGGATTTCCAGTCATTGTTTTGTCCACTTTCCACTTAACATGAACAGAACGCTCTTCACATGTAATTTGGATATCTATAGAAAAAGGGAGAGAGGGATTACTCATTGCATGCCTGAAAGTTGAAGAAAATTGAACGACTCTACAAAAATCAAACTTAAGTTGGTATCTGTGTTTAGAACCCGGTTTCAAAATCAGATAATTAGCAATAAACTAGGTTTCTACTGGTCTTTAAAACATGGTGGTGAGTCAACCAGCTAATGATCAACTACTGTGTTCCAAAACACAACTACCAGCTAAAGTTGGATTCTTCTAGATGTTGGTTAACTTATAATGCATCATATTTTTTCTCGTGCCATAATAAAAATTACCGCCATTACTATCTTCAGACACGTCAAATGCCGTGGCAATTGCAAAAACTAAAAAACCTAGCAGGTACTTCATGATCAGGTAGTGCAGAGCTAGTGAGACGCAAACCAAATGCTCTCTGTAAGCAGCTGAATTGTGCTACCTGGTCTAATCAGTAATTTATAACAGCTGGCACCTGACTGGGGAGGAAATGAAAAGTGAGCAGTATTTAATCATGATGGGAGAAACGAAGCTTTTCGAAGCATTGAATCAATTGAACCAATTGCTTCGAAAAATGATTCGATGGTTCGAAGCATTTGAAACAGCACGTGCTGGCGACATCTGCTGGTGAAAACGTTGAAAAAGTATCAAGAACTTTTTTTAGAAATACCATTTTTTTTTATAAATAATAAATACATAAATACTATTAAATATTAGTGCTTGTGTTATGTGTTTTATTTAAGTATAATCGAACCCTTAACACACAATGAACTAAATTAATTATTTAATGAATTAATTGATTTATGTAATTTTTTAATTGTGTTCATTAGAGCTGTCTATAAAAACCAGCAGGCAAGAGTAGTGTTATCAGTCAGGAGAAGGAGGTGGATTTAATTCTATCGTAAGCTCATTTTGTTATTTTTAAGGTATGATGTGATTTGTAGGTTGAAAGTACTGAATGTTTTCACACATTTTTTAAACTATATAGCCATCTGTGTTAAATGGAAGATCCTCTGTTTACCCCACAACATCTGGCCCTGAATAGGCCTATTCTTTATTTTTTATAGTAAAATTTCGTGGGATTTCATGTCACATGATTAACTGGGCAACCAGAAGTGGTTCATGGGTTCACTTTGAGATCAACACCCCCTAGTGGTGAACCATCGAAGTTTCGAAACGTTTCGAAACGGTGTGACGTAACGAAGCTTCGTTTGCCAAAATCACGTGACCTGGCCGGTTTGATACGCGCTCCGAAACATTGATTCGAAACAAAAGATTCACAAATGTTTCGAAGCTTCGTTCGGTGTGCAGGCGGATTGAGAAGGGTCTGGCTGCAGCTGGCGCTTGCACTCTCAGACGTGGCTACTGTTGTAAAATGTTGAGAGATTCAAACAAAAAGTAATCAACAAATAGAACAAAATAAAAAATAATAAAGACTGCAAGTGACGTCGCTAGCGGAAGTGCAAGTGTCTGAGAGTGCAAGCGCCAGCTGCAGCCAGACCCTTTTGGGGCGGATTGGCAACAGCTGGGGCAAGTTCAAGCTCAAACCGGTGTGTACCGTTTTGCTATGGTTTCCGGTTTGAACGACATGTTTCCTGGAAACGGTGTGCAACGGGGTTTGAGATGCGTTTATTACTTTTGCTGGCAAAGTTTAGTATACATAAATGCAAGTACGGCAATTATAAACCATTGTTTCTCATTTTGAAATCAGAAGTTAAACAATACCTAAAATCAATTTACAATTTGATAAACAAGAAAGCTGTTAAGTGTATTAATGTATGTAAACATTTCCATGTTTTTATGTAATTTATTTTTTATTTTCTCTTTATTTCACTGTAATTTTGTATCTATTTTTCCTTTGTGTTCACCCCCTGGCTACTGTAAAGTGTTGAATTTGAGTGATTCAATAAAAAAAAATAAAAAAAAAATCAGTGAGAGAGGAAAATATCAAAATCTGTGACTATTTTAATTGGATATTGAAAATGATCGAAAAAAGAAAGTATATTCACTGAACAAAAATAAAGTATATTCATTGAACAGAAAAAACAAAAACAAAAATGTCGCCACCATAGACTGTAAAAAAAACATGGACGTAGTGTCCGTGACGTCACTCGTAGGGTTCAGAAGAGCATTTTTTAAGCCTAAAGTGGGCGGAGGAGGTAAATTCCATTGAACTCTATTGAGAACTTGCGACCCCTGTCTGTGGGGGCGGATTGGCAACAGCTGGTCTGTGACTGGAGCGTGCATGGTAGGAAGTGGCGTTGATTCCGGAAGTGATCCGGAAATGGAGGATGAATTGTGTGGCGCGGAAAGTGGAGGTAATGGAGATGAATGGAATGTAGTGGTAAATAGGAAAAGAAAGAAAATTAGTGGAAATATATCTGAAACAGACAGTGAGAATGGAAGTCATATGTCAAGGAAAAGAAAAGAAGAGTGTAAGGTATTGATGAAGTTTGCTGCTGGATCTTTGAATGCAATTAACCCGTTGAAACTGTCTAAAGCACTGAAGGAAAAGATCGTAATGATGGAAAGTGTTAAGACTTTAAGAGAAGGTAGACTTTTGTTGTTTTGTAATGATAACAGACAACAAAAAGTGGCTTTAGGAATAAAATCGGTTCTAGGACAAAAAGTTATTTGTTCAATTCCAGAAGACAAAAGACGGGTTAAAGGAGTAATATCAGGAGTATCTCCTGATGTTCAAGTTGAAACGATTAAGAAAAATTTAACTGGAGCGACAGTGTTCGACGTGAAACGATTGCGGTGTACTAGAAACAATGAAAAAATTGACAGTCTCTCAGTCATGATTCACTTTGATGAAAATAAGCTACCTAGCAGAGTCTTCTTAGGATTTGTAAGTTATATGGTCAGGCCATATATTCCGCCTCCTCTGAGATGTTATAAGTGCCAAAGGTACGGGCATGTGGCGGCAGTTTGCAGGGGTAAACAGAGATGCGCAAGATGTGGGGGTGAACATGAATATGGTCAATGTGGGCAAGAAATTAGTCCCAAATGCTGTAATTGCGGAGGAGAGCACAGTGCGGGATACGGAGGATGTAAGGTGAGGAAGCAGGCGGCGCAAGTTCAGACGGTCAGAGTCGAGGAAGGGATATCGTATTCTGAAGCGCTAAAGAAAGTTGGAAAGAAGAATGAAGTAGGGGGTAGTAGGGTATCATTACCTGAACAAAAAACGAAAAGCAAACAGGATGAAAAGAAAGAGATATCAAAGATCACAGACAAAGTGTCATTTGTGTCGTTTATGGCAGAAGTTGTCAACTGTTCTGCTCAAACTGATAGCCGGACAGAAAGAATCAAGATAATAATCAAAGCAGCTGAAAAGTATTTGGAGATAAAGGGTATTTCTGTAGACATGATAAATGAAAATCTAAAAGTATATGTAACAAGCTCGCAATCAGGATGTGGTGGCTCTTAATGGTATTTATAATTTTACAGTGGAATGCTAGAAGTCTTATTGCAAATGGTCAAGAATTTAAAGAATATATATCCAAGAAAGAAAGCAGCCCAGATATAATATGTATACAAGAAACTTGGCTTAAGCCACAGTTGAATTTTACATTACAAGGATATACAATAATTCGGAAAGATAGGAAACAAGGGAATGGAGGTGGGGTAGCTACTGTAATTAATGTAATTAATTTCTACAATCCATGCGAGAAGTTGAGTTTAAATGTGTTGGAAAATATTGGTGGGAATAAAGTGATTTGGTGTGGTTTCAGATTTTCTGTGGCAAAAACACAGGTAATATGTTTTTCGAATAAGAAAATGAATCCTTCTCTGAATATAAAAATGTATGGGCAACAGCTAGAATTTTTATCCATTTTATTGCATATGAATGATTGAACCCTTCTCTGTGGACACACTGTTTTAGATGTAGTGAGAGGACATTAAGAAACATAGATTTGGTATAATGATGAGAAAATTTAATTGAAGGTGATAATTGTGTTAAATACATTCTATTATTAATCCCTCATGACATTTAAAAGTTAAAATATTTTTATTTTTAAACCTAATAGCAGTTACCCTTGCTGGACCTGTTTTGTCCCATGTCTCAAGAATGACTGACATAATAGGGAAACATGAAACAGGCAATTGTGATAAATGTGGTCTACCAGAAACGGTTGAGCATGTTCTTTTAATATGTATAGCGTATGAAAGGGAAAGACATCAGATGTTCCAAGAACTGGAACTGATGGGAATTAATAGTATATCTATCTCTAAAGACACTATTAGGTTATGAGGTAATGCAATCAAGAATATATGGAGAATTGTTTAAGTATTTAAAAAAGACAAGATTAATGGAAAGAGTTTTAAGTTTGGAATTTTGTATTTATTTACGTAAAAAAAAATTTGGTTTATTTTATTATTATTATTAAAAAAACATTTGTTATTATCTATAATAGTTGAATAATTCATAGCTGAACCGTGTACGTTTCACACTCCAGACATGCACCTTGGTTTGCCAATCCGCCAAAAAACTCGAGAGAAGAAGAAGCTTCGTGAAGCTGTTTCGAACGCGCCCATCAAAGACGTCGAAAAGCGGAACCATCGCGTTTCTACCAAAACACCCGGAGTTTATTTCAGATACACGGGAAGTTAGGGAGCTTTTTCCTGCAGAAGCATTTTAGCCGGTTCATTTGCACTAGGTTTTTAACAATTACTATTGTTAAAAATATTATCTAATTTCTGTTTAATCTGTATGAGCTAAAATACAGCCATCAATATGTTGATTAAAGTTAAGGTAAGTGATTTTTGTCTTGGCTTGTAGCGGCCGCTGTGAGTTTCAATAATCTGTTTGAACCTGGTTTATTCTGTCCAGTATTACCAACACTTGGTATTTGATGTGTTGAATTGAATGAAAGATTAACCGACTTGTCAAAGTGAATTAGTAGTTGAGTGAATCCGGTGTATCGGAAACAAAACAATTTTGTATCGTTTCTCAGACACTCACAGGCAAAGAAATAGAAATTGACATCGAGCCTACAGACAAGGTATGATTGTTGTGCTTAAAATGTGGATCGTATTTCTTTATCTTTGGAAGTATTTGGAAATTTATTTTCATCTCTTTTACCATCAAGGTGGAGAGAATCAAAGAGAGGGTGGAGGAAAAAGAGGGGATCCCACCACAACAGCAAAGACTCATTTACAGCGGAAAACAAATGTAAAGTTCCCCGTTAATACGTCAGTTTGAATTCAGCTATTGAGGGGAAAAATCATTCTCACCTGTCCTTCTTTATTTCAGGAATGATGAGAAGACTGCTGCTGACTACAAGATCCAGGGAGGATCTGTTCTGCATTTAGTTCTGGCTCTCCGAGGAGGCCAAAACCTGCACTAGCCCTGCAGACACCCAGTGTCTTTCCTCTAATCTATTCTGTTAAGATTGTAAATAGAAATAATCTGTGTTATCATGTACATCAAAACAAACAGCAGGATTGCCAGGAGGCTCTGGTGTTTACAGCCAAAAGTGGACATTTGGCTTTTCATAAATCACGTTAGTGTGATCACAGTGAACATATGCATATGCATTCTGAACAGTTTACAACCTAAATTTTAGTTCATGTTGAAGTTTGTTTCTGCCCTTTTCATTCTGCAGTATATGACTGTAAAAAAACTAGTGCACTTGAAGTGTTTACTTAAGTTTTAAGATAGACACTGCTCCCTTATAAAGGCTCATAAAGAAAATTAGTTTGCATTATCCCTTGCTATTTAAAAAAAATAAATTGAACTCATTCTCCTCACCCAGCTCTTGACAGTGTTTAGTACTGAGAAACTTGTATTTTTTTAGTAATATTTTGAATTTTAAAAAAATATTTTTTTTTCATTTAGTTTGTTGTATGTCTGTATATTTAGTTTAGTACATCAAGTTAAACTAAATGAAAATGAGAAATGTTGCTATGGCAACTGGTTCAAATAAAATATTTTTTTTTAATTTCAAAGTTTATTTCAGGTAACAAGTGTTTTAGTTAAGTATAATGGTTTTAATTGTGGTCATAAAGGTTTTAGTTAACTAAAACAACCCTGGCTCTTTAAGCCATGTTGTATCATTAAAGAGATGCTGACTAAAACTCAAACAGTGCATTATACCGTATATATGATTTATTGTATTTTGTTTGGATGAAAGAAGAATAAACGATGGATATTTGTGGTTTCACACACACAAAATGAGGTTGAGAAATTTGAATCGTACATATTCTAAATATGTGAGTTCACATTCACTGTCAATAAAATGATACAATGGTGCTCTAGGAATATCTCAAGACTTTGAGAGGAAAAGGTAAAATGGCAAAAAATGATGACGAGAAAGGCTTGATAACAGTAATGCAATTGGAGCTCAACTGACCTCACAGCTCATGTTTGTTCCCAGAAATAGTTACGGATGTACACATGAAGGATATCAGTAATTCAAGTTCTTCAACTTATTTAGAGACAGTGCATAAAGGATCTTATCTAATAATAGTGAGCATTTGTTTGACTGTTTAATCTTGCGCAGTAACGACAGCACATGAAACCACACTTTGTTCTTCTAGACAATTCAAACCAAGATAACACTTCATAAAAACCAGTTGTATCGAATCTGTGCTGGGACAGCGTTTAGTCCATAATAGAGAGGTTGACAGACAGCTGCCTATTTCCTTAAATCTCCATCTTAATGGAAAAGACAGTTATGGAGATGCTGAACTCGTGTAGGTGTCACAAAGGGCTGATTGTGGTTGACAGGCTGGGCTAGGAAAGGAGTCGATTTGTACTGTGTCCTGATGCATTGCACCCTATTTGAATCGTACATATTCTAAATATGTGAGTTCACATTCACTGTCAATAAAATGATACAATGGTGCTCTAGGAATATCTCGAGACTTTGAGAGGAAAAGGTAAAATGGCAAAAAATGATGACGAGAAAGGCTTGATAACAGTAATGCAATTGGAGCTCAACTGACCTCACAGCTCATGTTTGTTCCCAGAAATAGTTACGGATGTACACATGAAGGATATCAGTAATTCAAGTTCTTCAACTTATTTAGAGACAGTGCATAAAGGATCTTATCTAATAATAGTGAGCATTTGTTTGACTGTTTAATCTTGCGCAGTAACGACAGCACATGAAACCACACTTTGTTCTTCTAGACAATTCAAACCAAGATAACACTTAATAAAAACCAGTTGTATCGAATCTGTGCTGGGACAGCGATTAGTCCATAATAGAGAGGTTGACAGACAGCTGCCTATTTCCTTAAATCTCCATCTTAATGGAAAAGACAGTTATGGAGATGCTGAACTCGTGTAGGTGTCACAAAGGGCTGATTGTGGCTGACAGGCTGGGCTAGGAAAGGAGTCGATTTGTACTGTGTCCTGATGCATTACACCCTGATTTGAGTAAGACACTCGGATCCGTATCTTAAGGCTGACCTATAGGGGGGATATAAAAGTATAGTCAAGCTTGTGCATAAATAGTGCTGATTAGCTCAGTGAGAAAGACAGCTGCACAAGAATAAGCAGGGTAGACTTGCCTTGTTAGGATTGTTGAGTACAACAGTCTGTGTGACTTGACCAAGGCCATGTGCTGGAATCACATTACCACTCGGAGCCTTCATTTGCAGCTGAACACTCTAAAGGGGATATATTATAGTTTTTAAGAGATGACAGCATTCAAATGCTTCTGAAAAATGTAATTTCTTTCTCAAGTTAAAACGTGTAAATAGATTTTTACAAAATAAAATAGAAATAGTAAGGCCTGCTTAATAACAAAACATTAAGCATTTTTTTTTACAGGGTATTTGTATGTTAAAAGAAATTTAAAGCAAATTAAAAATAATTAATAATCAAAGACCAATTTTCTAAAGTAATGATGATAAAAATCATCATAAGTTATAAAAATAGTGGGGTTTTAAAAGGAAAAAATCTTCAAAGCTACAGCGTGTTCAACTGAAGGTAACTAAACAATAACAGAGTACTTCATTTTAAGAAATGCCATCAATTATAAAATGGTTATCAGGAATGCCATTAAATATATCTAAAACTTATTGGGAATTTTAATCTACATGTGGTGGAAAACCATATTACATCCATATAGTAGGGGTGCACCGATATGAAAATTTTGGCCTATACCGATAACCGATAGCGTGCATCTGAAGTGTCTCTGAAGGAAATAATGCATTATTTATCGGCTTTAAGATATCGGCCAAATTTTCTTATCGGGCCGATACCGATAACAGAAAAAATGAGCATTTATCGGCCGATACCGATATGGTGGCCGATATATCGTGCATCCCTACCATATAGTAATTAATCTACACAGAACGTAACCAAAACTCTGAAGTACATAATATAATCTACTTAAATAGTTTGGATTCAGTGAGTTTTCCTGAGTTCAAAGTGCAGCATGAAGCAAAAAAGTGTTCAGTGCAGAACTAATATTCGTGAACAGTGTGAATGCTGTGACCTGTTAATATGGCTGCTGAAATTATCTGCTGCTTGTGTGTGCTAAAACGGCTAAGTTTAAAAGTGGAGCAGGTACACACCTTTGGCACTGCTGCTTGAAGACTGAAGTTGGTGATGTCATTCTGAGCGGAGTTAGAGCCAATAAGGGTGACCATGACCTCGGTTTCTGTTTGTTTGTCACATTGGATCTTCAGCCTCAATCCATTCTTCTCATAGACTGTCTCAGTGAGAACTACATGCACATAAACACAACAGTTTCGTGGAAACCATGACACATTTTTTTCCAGGATTCTTTGATTAATAGAAAGTTCAAATGAACAGCATTTATTTGAAATAGATATGTTTTGTAACACTGTAAATGTCTTTACTGCCATTTTTTGATCAATTTAATGCATTTTTGCAGATTAAAAAAAAAGATCTTTATGATCCCAAACTTGTATATCTTTCAGGGAAAAAAAGATAAAAATGCAGTTGGAGGAATGGTGAGTTCTTCAGGTATCTATGTTCCCACCTGGTGTCGGCTCCAGTCCTCCCAGCAGGTCAAGAAGATCTGTGCTAGAGGTAGTTGTTGGAGTGCTGGTTGGGGCAGGGTTGGGCTGAAGAGGTGTGTCCGTCCCACCCAAGAGATCCAAAAGGTCACACACCTTTAACAGAAGTTTAAATACAAAAAAAGATTTCACTACTGTTTAACAGTTCTATGTCTAAATACAATATCCTATGATTATTACCTGGCTTGCTGGTTCTGAGAGCAAGCCTGCCTCAACTGGTTTGGGTTTGGATGGGTCAGGCTCCTTATTTTCTCCTGATGTGTCTCCATTAGTGTGGCCAGGTGAGTTCTTACCCATCACAGGCATTCTCTCCAATACTGCAGCTCTGAGAAGAAAACATTGAAAAGCAGCACCATTCATGCATGATGTTTTTTAATGAACAATAATATGCTATGAAAACACACGGCGGTACCTCATGTGGTCATATTTCTTAAAGAGTGCATTATATTCGACCGCTCTCTGCTGAAGTTCCAGGTCAATGCAGCTGCCGTAGATACTGACAATACTTCTGATTCGGCTGATTGAGAAAAAAAACATAAAGATGAAAAAGATGTAAGACCAAACAGATAAAGTACAAATAAAGTATGTTTGTGTGAATGATTTTTTTCCCTAGGGATGTACGTATTCGATACCATAAGTTATCAGCCTTTTTTAGCTGTACACCAGCGCTGCATTTATTTGATAAAATACAGTAAAGATATTGAGATATTATTACAATTTAAAATAAAAGTTTTCTTTTTTAATATATTTTAAAATGTTATTTATTCCTGTAATGGCAAAGCTAAATTTTTGAATAGCATAAACAGAATAGCATCTATTTGAAATTGATTTTTTTGTCAGACTTTACTGTCACATTTAATCAACTGAATGCTAAAGTTAATAAAAAAAATAAGGTAAAAAAAACCCTAATACATGAATAACACCATTAAATGTAATCTTTAGCAGATCTCAAAATGAGATTTTGAGATGCCTAAACTCACTTGTAGCATTTGTTTTTAGTGTTTTATTTTTGATATATTAAGAAAAAAATATAGTAAAACTTTTAAATAATAATTGGCCCGAACGTAATTGGTTCAACCATCATTTTTAAATTCTGTCTAACTTGCCAGTATTTCATAAAAGCATGTCTCACTCGACATTGTCTGTGATACGAGTGCTCAGCTTCATGGTAGCAGTGAGTGCGAAGCCTCTGGTTGCGGGCGATGACATGTGAGACTGTAGAACTGTTTCCAAGGCATCCAGGACGTCATCCTCAGTAACCTAGCGACAGAAAAAGCCCAAAACTCAGTTTACTCTATCCTTACAAAACAATAATTTTGGTGGTAAAGGGGTGGCATCAGCTATTAGTACCATGGTAATTTCATACAGAGTGTAAAGAAGTACAAAACTACATATTTTCAAAACTGACTAGTTGGTTTTAAGGATAATTATAATTGGGTAGGTTTGGGAGACACAACTTCTCAGAAGGTTTTTATCTTGCTGACAATCTCAGTTACTATTAAAATTTACATGCAAAAAGTAAAGCATGCTAGTCTATTGACTAGTTAACGGCTCAGCCCTACCACAATAACTAGAATATTCATGTACAATGATATTTACATGATACTCCAAAAAGAGAACAACTTGGCACCATTATGGTACTTGTTCAAAAAGTCATTTTGGATACTTTTCTGCAAGTGACTTGCAACATAAAATACACTATATGTATCAATTTATCTGTCAGATTCCCATTGATTCTATAGTGACACTGATTGGTGCTCCACAA